TGTTCTAAAACTAGATTGTGGTGATGGTTGCACAACCAGGTAAATTTACTAAAAATCACTGATGTGTACACTTAAATGGGTGAATCTTATGGTATGTAAATGGTACCTTAATAAAGTTGTTACATTAAAAAAGAAAGCATACTCAGCACTTAAAAACATACATTTTGATTCGAATGAGTTCTGGCTAGGAGCTTCCCAATTTCTCACTAAATACTTAAGAAGGCATAGGAGAAAAAAGAAGAATGATGTCACGGAACACAAAAACTGAAAGAATCTGGGCAGAATCTCCTCTAATTAGGAAGTAGATGAAATGGATTGAGAAATCTTACCTCGACAGACGGCGTGGGGAAAGGAAGGAAAGTCCACCAGGTCTCTCCCAAAAGGCCATCCCAGGATACAGAGCCGCAGAAGATTAGGCAGCTGTTCATTTGCCCGCCGTGAATTAATCTGGCAGGACTGTCCCATCCTCTCCTCATCCTCCCCTTGCCAGGCCATCTTTCTATGGCTGAGAGGGCAGCAGGTTCTCAGACCATAATGAATAAGAAGGAGACAGTTGTGGCACCTTAAGTTCAGTGAGGTATGTATGTCTCCCCAAAGTAAAAAGCCACAGAGCTCCTCTGTTGAGGATCTTTCCTTTTTATGAATGTGAATGCTCATAGATGAAACAAATAGAAAAGGCTGCTTCCAACAGATGGCATTAATTGATCACATGCAGTCATTGAATCTTGGCCACCCCATTGCTCCCTAACCTAGAGCAGAATTTACAGCCTTTGAGTTCATTTTAAAGGTGTTTATGAATATGATGTACCCTGATCGTGTCCAAAAGCAGTGAGAATTTTGAAAACTAGCAGGAGGAGAGAAGTATATGTTCACCATGAAGGCAAAGGTAAAGCTTAACTTTCCATGGATGTGTTCATGTTAGTCACTTGAAATGGATCATTTTAGTCTTACCAACAATGTTTTCTGGACCAAATTTGCTTTTAAAAGGAGTTGCTGCAAAAGAAGATAGTTTGAAGAAGCTAGTTTGCAGTGTGTGCTAGGAATTATGGTCTGTCTTATACTGTATCAGTTGAGTAGGACGTGGAGGGAGGACAGGAGGCCATCGCAAGAGGCAGGAGACGTTGTAGGAGAAATTACCTAGAAACCGAGTGGGAGCTTGCACATCAGCCTTTTAGCTTCATAAGGAGAGGAAAGAAGTCACCACGAAGTGGGCCAAGAGTGGAGTCAAGGGCAATTCATGCACAATCTCTGCAGACACAGAGTGTCAACAGATTGATCTTGAAGAATAAGGAAGGCAGAAAACAGCATACGAAAACTGTGGAAAAAATATTGCAATGTAAACAAACATAACATGATTAGCCTGATTAGCCTGAGGAGTCTATCTATCTCTGAAACTTGTTTAATGCGGGACTCAAAACCAAATTTCAGGAAACTGTTTGGTGTCCCTAATAAGGTGCAGAAAGACATCATTTTTTACGAAGTACGAACAGAAAGCCATAAGGAAAAACCAGGCTAAGTTGAAAAGGCAAGATGAGATAGAAAGTGAGATGGATGATCTAACAGAGATGATGATGATAAGAGCAATAAAAATTGCTAACATTTATTTAACATTTTTGACACACCATCCTTTATTCTAAGTATTTTTACGTGCATTAACTCATTTAAGCCTTACAAGAACATCATGAATAATATGTTCTATTATTATTGTCCCCATTTTATAATTGAGGAAACTGAGAGGAAATAAGGAAGATGCTCAAGGTCACCCAGCTGTGAAGTGTTGGAGCCAGGATCCAAACCCTGACAGTTTTACTCCATGGCCTGTGCTTTTAATCATTATACTAAGAGAGGATGGCAAGGAAACAAAAGATACGAAGGTAGGATTAAAATCATTCAAGGCAGTAAAGAGAATAATTGAAGCTGTGGGTAACTGATATTATAACAACAAGTCCACCTAGAAAGAGAAAAAACACAAAAACAAAGAGAGAGGAGGTGACAGACATGGAAGCCGGAGCATAAAATTTTCCCTTGCTGCCTGAAAGGACACGCCACATTACAGACAAAACAAACAACAGCAGACCTACATCTAGATACAGTCTGTAAAACAAAAACAAAAACAAAAACAAAGCCTACAATAGAACACTAAAAAAAGAACATATGAAAAACAAACTACCACTCTCTATATAATTCAACCTCACTTCTAATTAAAAAGAGAAGAAATTTAAATTAGATACCATTTTAACATTTCAAATGTGAACAGAATGCCAAAATACATGAAGTGAAGCTGACAGAATTTCAAGGAGAAATAGACAAATCTGGTATTATAGTTGCCTACTCGAACACCCCTCTACCAGTAATTGACAGGTTAACAGAAAATGAGTGAGAATATAGTTAAACTGAATAGCACCATCATCACTCAACTAGATCTAATTGACATTTATAGATTACTTCATCCAACAACAGCAGACTACACATTCTTCTCAAGTTCACATGGAACATTTACCAGGATAGATCACATTCTGAGCCATAAAACCTTTAACGAATTTAGAGAAATAGATATCATACAATGCATACTCTGAGGCTGCAGTGGAATTGAACTAGAAATCAATAAGAGGAAAGATAGATGAAAAATCCCCAAATACTTGCAGATTAAGCAACATACTTCAAAATGACACAGGGATCAAAGAAGTCTCAAGAGAAATTTTAAAATATTATGAACTAAATGAAAATGAAAATAGAACTTTAAAAAATCTATGGGGTACAGTGAAAGCAAAGCTTAGAGGGAAATTTATAACATTGAATATATATATACACACATACACACACACACATATACACACATATATTAGAAAAGGAGAAAGATCTAAAATCAATAATCTATGTATCCATCTTAGGAAAGGAAAAAGAAAAGAGCAAATGAAATAAAAAATGAGCAGAAAAAAATAAAAATTATTGCTGAAATCAGTGAAATTGACAACAGAAAAATAATAGTGAAAATCAAAACCAAAGGTGTATCATTGAAAGATTAATAAAATTGTCAAACTTCTAGCCAGGCTAACCAAGATAAAAAGGGAAAAGATACAAATTACTAACATTAGGAATAAAGGAAGGGCCATCACTACTGATTCCATAGATATTAGGAGGATAATAAAGAAATTTTATGAACAAATTTATGCCAATAAATTTCATAACTTAAATAAAATAGACCAATTCATTGAAAGATATGATCTACCAAAACTCACATAAAGAGAAACAGATAATTTGAATAGGGCTTTATCTGTTAAAGAAATTAAATCAACAATCAATACCCTTCCAAAGGAGAAAGTACCAGTCCAAGATGGGTTCCCTGATGAATTCTATCAAACATTTAAGTAAGAAATGATATCAATTTTCTATGATCTCTTCCATAAAATATATAGAAGCAGAGCACACTTTCTAATGCTTTCTATGAATCCAGCATTACTCTAATACCTAAACCAGACAAAGACATTACAGGAAAGGAAAACCACAAACCAGTATTTCTCATCAACATAGAAGCAAAAATTCTCAAGAAAATACTAGCAAGTCAAATTCAACAATGTATGAAAATAACTACATATCACAATCAAGGAAGATTTATTCCAGGTGTATAAAGCTGGTTAAATATTTGAAAATCAATTGTTATACATCACATCAACAGGCTAAAGGAAAAAATAATGATTATAATAGATTCAGATTGATACTATCTAATGGATTGATCTCCATGCAGTGATCCAATGTGTGTCAGATGAACTGCACGGATCACATGAAAAGTGCAAGGTGTGCAGGGAAGAGTCTGTGGGTCAGGGTGGTGCTACCTACTTGCTCATTCATTATTTTATTATTACGAAACATTCAAACATACAGAAACACTGAAAACATTGTACAGTGAACATTTGCATACCCACCGTCTAGATTTTACCATTAGCTTTTTGTTTAACACCCACCTGTTCTTCCCTCTATCATTAATCCATATTATTTTTTTGAAACATTTCAAAATCAATTGCAAAGTCTATATACTTTCTCATAAATACTTCACATGTTTATCATTAACTAGGGGTCAGTATTTGTTTATATATTTTTTCTTTTGATATACATTTTATGTATAATGAAATGCATACCTCTTAAACCCACATTTGTTAAGTTTTGGCAAATGTACATATCTGTGTAGCCCAAGTCCCTCCTAATATGTACAACATTACTAGCATCCCTGGAAGTTCCCTCATGGCCCTTCACATGCTTGTTTTTTACAATCACAAAAAGTAAGGCTATTTGGAAAATATTTATAATATGACCCTCTTTATGTTATAGAAATAAAAAAAACCCTGAAAGTAAAAACACAAAACGTGGTATTTCTAGACAGAGCAATTACCATTGATCTTAGTTTTCATTTGTTCTCTTCTCTGTAGTTTCTAAATTTTATATAATGTCTTACTTGGATGGTAGGAAAAAACAGTAAAAGCTCTTAAAAGAAGCATCTTTCTTATAGTAAATGATGTTGCACACATGGAAGAATATTTATAGCGATTAAACGGCTGGAAGTGATCATTCTGAAGATTATGTAGCAAAATTGAAAATATTTCAGTATGATATTAGATATAATGACAACATTAAAATAAATATTAATACCATAATCACCATGATATGAAGGTATGTAAACACACAGAACATAGAAATAGAAAAGGGTAAGAAAAAAAGTGACTGTATTTCTCATTCTGTTTGGGTGATGGAATTATGAGTAATTTTTTGCAAAAATAAAACTGTCATATCATCTTTTTCCAAACTACAAAAGCAGTTACATATCCCATAAGACTCTGACTCTAGGACCATCCATCTCTTACTTACACGAGCTAGCTCTGAAGACGTGAACCCACCCAGGAAAGCTGCAAAATCTTGCTTGGCTCTTGTAAGGGGCTCACACGGTCTGTACATTTGGTTGGGTTTGGGACACATAATTCAAACTATTATACTAGGACATAACAAACAGGTACTAAATTACCTTTTTCTGGAAAGATGTTGTTTTTGGTGAGTCTGACGCTTTTGGGCCTTGGGTGGTGATCATCCATGCCCATGATCAAGTTGCGGAAAAACAAATCAAATTTCTTTCTGCTGTCCGCGTTGATGGTGCCAGCCAGGGTCCACACCAAGGAAAAGAGGAACAGTCCTTGCAGCCAGAGGAAGATTTGTTGACTTGACATGCCTTCAGTAAATTCAATTTCATCCTCTTTTATTTCCCTGATTTCATCTAAAAGCGAGAAAAGGGAACCTCAGGGCCAGGTGCAGAGTGTCACAGATGTAAAAGCTGGGAACTGGCTGGTTTTGTCCATGAAGGTGACCAGATCCCTTATGACATGCACGTTATTATTGTGGTGAAATACACACAACATAAAATTTGCCATCTGATCATTTTTAGGTGTACAGTTCAGTGGTACTAAGTACATTCACATTGTTGTGCAACCTTCACCACCATTCATATCCAGAACTCTTTTTATCTTGCAGAATTGAAGCTCTGTACCCATTAAACAAGAACTTTCCCTTCCATCCTCCCTCTACCTCCCTTGTAACCAGAATTCTACTTTCTGCTTCTATAAATTTGACTACTCTAGGTATATCATATAGCCCATACAGTCATTTTGTGACTGGCTTATTTTACTTAGCATAATGTCTTCAGTGTTTACCCATGTTGTAGCACGTGTCAGAATGTCCTTCCTTTCTAAGGCTGAATAATGTTCCATTGTATGATTATACCACATTTTGTTTATCCATCCATCCACTGATGGACACTTGGGTTGCTTCCACCTTTTGACTATTGTGAACAAACTGCTATGAACACGGTTGTATAATACAAATATCTGAGTCCCTGCTTTCAATTCTTTTGGCTATAAACCCAGAAGTGAAAATGCTGGATCACATAAATCTATGTTTACTTTTTTAGGAAACCACCAAACTATTTTTCACAACAGCTGTAACATTTTACATTCCCACCAGTGGTGCACAAGGGCTCCAACTTCTCCACATCTTCACTAACATTTACTTTCTGTTTTTTTTTTTTTTATTATTCTAACTGTTCTAGTAGGTGAGAGGTGGTATCTCATGTGGCTTTGATTTACATTTCCCTAACAATTAGTGATGTTGAACATCTTTTCATGTACTTATTGGCCATTTGTACATCTTCTTTGGAGAAATGCCTATTCAAGTCCTTTACCCATTTTTCTTTTTTTTTTTTTGAGACAGGGTCTCACTCTGTTGCCCAGCCTAGAGTGCAGTGGTGTCATTATAGCTCACTGCAACCTCAAACTTCTGGGCTCAAGCGATCCTCCCGCCTCAGCCTCCCAAGTAGCTGAGACTACAGACATGTGCCACCACACCCAGCTAATTTTTCTATTTTTTGTAGATATTGTATCTTACTCTTGCTCAGGCTTGTCTCAAACTCCTGACCTCAAGTGATCCTCCTGCCTCAGGCTCACAAAGTGCTAGGACTACAGGCATAAGCCATCGTACCCAGCCCTTTTACTTATTTTTGAATTATGTTGTTTATATTTTTATTGTTGAATTTTAGAGGTTTTTACATATTCTGGATATTAATCCATTATCAGAGATGAGGTCACTCAGGGTTGGAGACAATGAGTCCATTTTTTATGCGTATGCCTTCTTTCCTAGGAAATACTAGACAAGGATAGTAGACAGAGCTTGCAAAAATATGCAAAACTTACAATAATAATGTAAATGTATGGTATTTTATGCAATTGGTGTGCTTCTGAAAAAACTGCCTCAGAATTTAATTTTTGAAAATAAAAAACATTTGGAAGTTCTCCACTTAGCTGCTCACCATGTCACATTTTTGATCTATACCTACAATGGCTTTGGAAGCAATGAGCAGAGAAAATATGCTCATGTACCAGAAGTTATACAGAAGATTCATCTTGAGTTTCAAAAGTGCCATCTTGAAAATGAAATGATATTCATAAAACTACTCTAAATGGACACATCTTTTGTCATTTCCAGGAGAATCCAGTAAAATTTGATTTATGTGGATAGTTACAGAGAAATATGATTTTACCTTGGGAAGAATATACATCATAGGACCATTGGTTTAAATGTCCTGAAGAAGTTCCCTAGTTTTGGACACTAATGTGATTAGTTTTCTTATAGTGTATCTCTATGTCTTATGAATTCAGATTTTTGTAATGTAAGTTTTCTTAACATATGCAAACTTCCTATATATGTTTTCAGAAAATTTTTTCTGAGATACATGCATATGTATCATCTAAATTAATCTCCCTCTAAGATATCCCTTTAAGGTAAAAAGGTGAGGAATTATTACCCCCATCGTGTGGATGAGGAACTTTAGATTGAGGAAGGATAGAATAATTTGCTCAAAATCACCCAGAAAAATCAATGTCAGATCAAGACTAAATACATGGACTTTCCCCACCAAACTCTACTATCTACACCCAAAAGACTTTCTTGCTCTAGACCAAACATCCAGACCTATTGCAACTAGAGAGGCAGGAGCAGGGGAAATAGCCAAGGCACCCCCAACCCCACGTGGCTTAAGAATCATGGGTAGCACTTACCAAGCAGAGAGGAGTACAGTCTCATCATTGAGAAGGCAAGGTGGATGGGAGATGTCTGGACAACAAATTTACAATGAAGGCGACAAAATTCCAGGCAGGGCTGGACAAGCCACATGAACATGTCATTGACCTGAGAGTAGAAAGCTATGTGAGATCTGGATACATTATTGGAAAGTGAGTTGAAGACAAAGAGCTTGGTCTACTTTGGGAGGCTGGAGATGCTGTAAGACTGCTGATTACTTTTGAATGCAGATACATTGGGGAAAATCACAGGCAGCAAGACCCCTGTCTCAGCTTCCTCCTTCATGGTTCTAAGACTGTGCTACCCATAGGCCATGTTGACTCAGTTTCCCCTCCCCATACCCCTGCCCAGAGCCAGGTACTCAGAGAAGCTTAGAGATACTCTGGGTCAGCTACAGAATGCATGACCAACTACTGTATCTGACTTCGTTTTTATAAAAAATATTAGGAATTCTAAACAATTGATTTACAAAAGACTGTTAGACACTGGTGAGGCAGGACTCCTGCATAAAGGGGCCATAGAAAGCACAGAGCTAAGTTTGGGTCGCATTCTTAGTAATCCACCACATGTACATATGTACATATGGTACTTATTTGGGGGTATCATGATTCTTGTCTCTCACTTCTGCTCCCCACTCTATATATTCTTTTAAAAAATTATTCAACTCACTTTTCTCCTAGTGTTTTTCACCTTTGTTATGCTTCGTGACTTTCTCTGTACCAATACGTTGTTGTTTTTTTTTGGAAGGAGGCAGGCCATCACTAAATAAATATATACTTAGGTATGGATATAAGTGGATACTGCATGTATGTATGTACAGATGCATTTTTGTGTGTATATGAATATACATGTATACATGGATATGTGGTTTATTCATTCAGTCAACCAATATTGATTGAGCATCTACCAACTGCATTGTAGTAGTGCAGGGGATACACGATGGACAAGATAGACAAGGCCCCTGTCCTCATGGAACGTACAGTCTGAGGGGCAGGGAAGACAAACAGTAAATAACTAAACAAGCAAGGAAATAAATACAGTTCTTGCAGACCATGGAAAGTGCTAGCAGGAAACAAAGGTTTTAAGAAGGAGAATAATAGGAAGTGTTTATATAGGGTAGCTAGGGAAGGCTTCCCAGAGGAGGAGACCTTACGCTGAGACCTGGATGATGAGGGTGAGCCATCTGTGAGATAAATTGGGGCAAGATTTCCAGAAAGAGGAATAAAAACAGCAAAAGCCTTGAGGTGGTCAAACCTGGGGTTGTCTTGGAAACAAGACAGGACGGCTGGAGAGTGTAAGCTGGGGCTGAGGAGGAGAGCAGGTGATGAGATTGCAGAGGCAGGCAGGGCCGGACCACAGAGTCTCACTGGCCCTGGTAGGGAGTTAGACTTTGTGCCAAGGACATCGGAGAGTCCCTAAAGGACTTTATATGTATGGGGACTTGGCAGCTTTTGTCATGTGTGTGTGCAGATTGGTCCCTGAATGTGCCTGTGGATATGTACTTGGATGAGCACATGTGTTCGTAATTATGCATGTATATAAGAGGTGACAGACGTGGAGCTGTTCTGCATAATCCCCTGGAGCATTTCCACAGCAGGAATAGAAACCAACTCAGACACTTCTTGGCTTCCTCAGTGGGGACTTTCCTAAGCATCTCTATTAATGCAGGGAAGAGCAAAAGGAACCACTAACGCAGCTTCTCCCTTCCTGCTTCCCTGGCCTGACAGTGTGGTCAGGTACACACCCAACCTGAACTTTTCTACTTCTTTTAAGGAGGGAGGAAGGGAACAGTCACTCACAGTGGCTGCGAGGAAAGTGTTTCTAACCAGTTCCAGCTCCCCTGAGCTGGGAGGTGTGGAGTCCAGGTTACAGGGCAGCACAAGAAGGAACATAGCTCTTCCTAAACTGGTCCATCTCTAGAGAAACTTCTAGAGATGTGTGCTAGTGGGGCAATGGGGACAAGGGGGACATTCCAGTCACCATGAAGAACGTTCCTCAGCACTGGGATTCTCTCCTGGGGAGCCGAGAAGTGATGGAGAAAGAGGAAGAGGAAAGAGAAACTGACTGCACCACTTCCTCCCCCCACCCCGCACATGAAGAGGAAAGTTGGAAAACGGCCAGCAGCCAGGAAATAAGATAACTGCAGACAGCCGGGGAATTCCCTCCCTCTTCCTGCCTCCTGAACTGTGAAGGTGAACAGGTGTCTAGAAGGCCCTTGAGACGAGGAGTAGGGAGATGGGGGAGGGGAACGAAAGGGGTTCGAGGGTCTCACCAATTCCTTGTGCTCCTCAGTGAGGATGGAGGGCAGGGTGTCCATGTACGAATCCTTCAGTGGCTTCCAGCCTAGCTGATGGGGCTCCATGTAGATCATCCCACACCTGGGAAGCACAGACAGAGGACCAGTCTAGGTGTTTTCTTGTTTGTTCCTCATACCAGCTAACAATCATTGAGCACCTACTGCAAGTCAGACACCATGCTAGGCCTTAATGGATCTTGGCAATAACCTTCATCTAACCATAGGGTCCTCCTCATCCTCTTCCCTGGGTTTCCCCACCTGAGATAACACAGCATCTTCAATCCTGTGTTCACCTTCCCCACAATCTCTTTCCTTCTTACAGAGTTTTATAGCATTTCTATATATTCCTAAAATGTATATATTTTTGTTTTAGTTGCTTTTAACATTGAAAAAAGGTAACATGCTGTAAATAGTATTATGGGCTTACTTTTATATGTAATATTGCTAAGATTTTATCCTTAGGATAGTTACTAAGATTTATCCGTATAGTCGCATGTCAGTGTAGTTCATTTATTTTGAATGCTACATATAAATATCACAATTTCTGACTATATTATATTTTGTTAATTCACTCAGGTTAATGGGTATTTGGGCTGTTCTCAAGTGTTTGTTGCTGCGAGTTGTGCCATTATGAATATTTTTGTACAGATTTCCTATTTTTCTCGGGTATGTACTTAGGAGCGGAATTGTCAGGTCATGGGCATATGAAGGCTCAACTTTAGGGGACAAGGTCAAACTCTTTCCCAAAGAACATGCTGGATTTTACATTCCCACCATCAGTGTGGATTGAGGACTGATTTTATGGAAAAACTAGGTGGGCAACAAATAATACAGGTGATCTGCTAGGGCCGAATCACACCTGTGGATTTTTAGAGCCTTCCCTCCTGCTTAGGGCTGGTGGGGCCAGTGAAAGCTGCCTCACCTGCTCACGGTGGCCGGCGAGGCCTGCTCAAGGTCAGCTGGCTCGAAGATCAGGCTCATCTTGGGGCTCATCTGGATAATCTCTCCACTCATTAAACACAGCTGAACATGCAAAGCAGAGGAGAGGGGGTGGACACAGGGGTTAATTTCATCTGCAAGGGCAAGGTTTCAGTGGAGACAAATTTGAATTCATTCCACAAGTATTTCTTGAGCATCCACTATGTGCCAGACACTATTCTAGGTACATAAAATAAAACCAAAGTCCCTGTCCTTTTGGGGTTTACATTCTGCTGGGAGGAGACAGAAAATAAGCACAATATATAGTACTTAAAATGGTGAAAAATGATCTGGAGAAAAATAAAGGAGAAGAGGGGATTGGGGAGCTCTCAGTCACGGTGGGGTGAGTTGCAATTTTAAACAGGGAGGTCAGGAAATCACTGACCTTAGAAACAATCTTAGATGAAGAATCAGAAAGTTATCACACCATGCTGAGTTTCACAGTCCCCTTCTCAGTATTTAACATAGAACTTAACTGCACATCTGTATCCTATTTTATTTGCACAGGTCACTCACAAAAGACTTTTTTGAACATCCACATGGACCAGTCCGTGGCTGGAGTGACAAGAACTTTTCATAAATTCTTTTTGGAATGGAATAAAAAAGCATCAGAAGTCCTACTGTTTAGCAGGCATGTCCTTGTGGAAAGCAGTGCAATGACATGAGAAAGGCTTGGGATATATTAACACACTAAGTCAGTGGCAATGTTTCCTATTTGCCAGCATGGGTTCTAGCGAGATGTTTAAGTCATAAGAAAAGGTCTGGGTGGCCAGGCACGGTGGCTCACGCCTGTAAGCCTAGCACTCTGGGAGGCCGAGGCGGGCGGATCATTTGAGCTCAGGAGTTAGAGACCAGCCTGAGCAAGAGTGAGATCCTGTCTCTACTAAAAAAATAGAAATTAGCTGGACAACTAAAAAAAAAAATATATATATATATATAAATATATATATAAAAATTAGCTGGGCATGGTGGTACATGTCTGTAGTTCCAGCTACTTGGGAGGCTGAAGCAGTAGGATTGCTTGAGCCCAGGAGTTTGAGGTTGCTGTGAGCTAGGCTGACGCCACAGCACTCACTCTAGCCCGGGCAACAGAGTGAGACTCTGTCTCAAAAAAAAAAAAAAAAAAAAGAAAAGGTCTGCGGTCTTGGTCTCTCCTGAAAGAAGAGGAAACATCACTGATTCCTTCTGTTTATCCTAATTTCTGGTTAAAAACTTCCTTGTACATTAACCTGCCCGTATCAAACACATCTTGAAACAGGTCACTGCATGCATCCCCAGAAAGGTCACATCTGTTATGGAGCTGGCATCACCAGCTGTGTCATCCCTGAATATCAAGAAAAGTAAAATAGAACCACACCCGTGACTGTAATTTGATTTACACCCAGAGCCGAGTAGAGACATTAGAAAATTCACTGATTATGACTGTGTTTATACTTCTAATCTCAAGACCAACTGATACATTTCTACAATTAATTTATATAAGATGGTCCATATCATGTCATAAAACTTATTTCTATTTTTATATATTATATAACCAAAATTATGCACATGTTATAATTATGTATGTGTATAATTTAGATAATAAGGCCTCTCATTGTTGAGCATGACTCACTCTTAGTCTTGTGACATTTAAAGACAATTAGAAAATATTTTTTGATTATATAATGATGTATATTCAGTGTAGGAACTCTTCCTTGCAATGGTGATAAATTTTATTTTATTTTAACAAACAGTTATATAGTACTTGCTATATGTCAGGCACTATTAGATGCAGTTTACAGATATCAACTTATCTAATCTTCCTAACAACATTATGAGGTAGACACTAATATCCCCATTTTACAGTTGATGAAAATTGAGGCACTGACAAGACTAAATAGCTTCTCTGAGGTTACACAGTTGGTAAGTGGCAAGGCCAGGATTTGAACCCAGGGTGTCTGGCTTCAGCTACTATATTTACTGGGGCAGAATGTATTTTCCAAAGACTGCTGCAATGACACCTCCCATCCTAAATGCACTTTTGCAATGTGACCTTGCCCTCCTCCCTCAAGAGATGGAGTCTGTTTTTCTACTTCTCGGGTAGGCCCTATGACTTCTTTGACCAACAGAATTCAGAGAAAGTGATGCTGTGTCAGTTCTAAGCATGGCCCTTAATTTCTTAGAAATACTCATTTCCTGCCTCTTAGAAGTCAGCCACCCCATAAGAAGTGCCACTACCCAGAGATCATCAAGCGAGAAGCCCAAGCCATGTGTAGTGGCCTGAAAGATGAGGTGCTATTTAGACAGAGAGAGAGGGAGAGAGGGAGAGAGCAAGAGAGAGAGAAAGGGGCCAAAAAGGGATGAGCCTCCAGACATGGTGTGAAGAAGCCATTTTGGCTGTGTTTCTTCCAGCCCTGGCTGCCCCAGATGACATCTGAAGAATTCTGTTAATGGACCAGGGTGGGCATAGTGGCTCACACCTGTGATTCCAGCACTCTGGGAGGCCAAGGTAGGAGAATCACTTGACGCCAGGAGTTCAAGATCAGCCTGGGCAAGAGCAAGACCCTGTCTCTACAATAAAACAGAAAAATTAGCCGGCCATGGTGGTGTGCACCTGTAGTCCCAGATACTCAAGAGGCTGAGGCAGAAGGATCACTTGAGCCCAGGAATTGGAGGTTGCAGTGAGCTAGGCTGACACCACTGCACTCTAGCCCGGGTGACAGAGCAAGACTCTGTCTCAAAAAAAAAAAAAAATTAGAGACCAATTGTCCAGCTGAGCCCTTTCAAAACTCCCAGCCACAAAATCATGAGAAAAATAAATGGTTGTTTTAAGCCATTAAGTATTAGTGTAGTTTGTTATACAGCAATGGAAACCAAAACGTATCCCATGTATCAGATACTACATATGTACAATCTCATTTAATTATCAACAACCCCATTTTATTATTACCTTTCTACAAATGAGGAAACTGAGGTTCAAAGAAGTCATGTAACCTGCTCAATACAACACAGCTCAATGGTAGAGCTGGGAGTGCAGTCTGAGCCACCGCCAACGCTTTGAACCACTATGCAACATTGTTTCTAGACACAGTTAGCTAATCAACTACAAGTACAAATGGAAGCATAATTCAATTAATAACTTATTTTCTTGTGGGACATTCATTCTTATTGCAATAAGTGTATATCTTTATATAGGTTGGGTTTTTTGTTTTTGTTTTTGTTTTTTTTAGAGACAGGGTCTCGCTCTGTTGCCCAGGCTGGAGTGCAGTGGCACGATCATAGCTCATTGTAACCTTGAACTCCTGGGCTCAAGCAATCTTCCTGCCTCAGTTTCCTGAGTAGTTGAGACTATAGGCACATGCCAACATGCTCAGCTAATTTTTAAATTTTTTGTAGACAAAGTCTCTCTATGTTGACCAGGCTGGTATTGAACTCCTGGGTCAAGCAATCCTCCTACCTTGGCCTCCCAAGGTGCTAGGATTACAAGTGTGAGCCACTGTGCCTGGCCTGTCTTTATATAGTTTTGATCAATCATTTACTTCAATAAAAAAATTTATATCTCATCTATGTAAAATTGATATCAGAGTACCTTTTTATTGTCATCCAGAACAGTGTTCATATTTTCAATCCAAACAGCATCCACCGGCCCATCAAATATAATCCACTTGCGGTCATCAGACAGTGAAGATGCTTGCTCCCGGAAAGCATTGGCGAGGACACCGTCCGTCCACTCATGGCTCACTTGGTCAAAGCACCCATACAGTTGCCCCATGGTGATAGCCTTGGGGTTGATGATCTTATACTCCACAGCACACTCCTCCATCTGGTTGGCTGGGCAAGAAGGTCCAATGTCAGTTACAAAATGCTCTGGTGAGATCAGCATGTTAAACAAGAATAATGCCATCTCAAAGATCAACCAACTTTTATCAACATGCTATATAAGGAAAGTCCTTATGAAACGTGTGCTGAGTCCTAATAAAGATTGGGATATCTGGATAGGTAATGCCTTAAATTGTGGGGCTGTTAGAGTCATTAGTTTCTCACCATGCTTTCTTTTGAGTTTCATTTCAAACAGGGCAAATGTGCCAGTCATATCCAGGACTAAAGAAAACTGAGTGGGCCTCAAAGAACTCAAGCAGAAAGGGAGAGTGATGCTATATTATCAACCCTCTTTGTGGACCTGCTCTCATGGCCACCCCGAACCCTGGCTTTTACTGGAGATGAGGGAACAGCTGACAGGTTCTGGAAAATGATGGTTACTTTTCTTTATCCGAAAGGCTAGTCTAGCTCTGAAGCCTCTTTCTCAGCTGCTCAATAAGTGTCATTTGTTCCAGAGAAATGCACACTGTTGAAGTACTGAAACTCAAGTGGAACACACAGGCTGATGGATGGCACAGCATACGTATTTTGTAACAGAAAATAATGACACTTTTATATGATCCTTCAAAGTAAGGAAAAGTTGAAGAGCATGAGCCATGAACTAAAGAAAGAACCACTTCTGCAGTATCCTGAGGCAAAGATAACAGGATAGCCTCTTTTCCCTTCATTCAGTTTCCTAACCAAAATTAATAATATGAAATTAATAATGCCAAAATTATTACTTAAATTTGAACCACCCAAATTAGTTATTATGGCACAGAATAGTCCTCAAAACAAAACCTCAAAAATCCAACAGTAACTCAATCATTAAATGTATTAGAACAAAATTTTAAATGAAATACTTGAAGCAACACATGCACAACAAAGGACTTTTTTTCCAAACCACAGGTTTGTGATTCATACACAAACAAACAAACGAACAACACAAAAAAAACCCCAAACTCTTTCTCTGGTAATAAACATAGTTTCCATTTGTTGAGTAAGGCACCATGCTAGGTTGTCTACCTGCATAATCTCATTTAATTCTCACAACCATCCCATTTTACAGCTGCAAAAACAGAGGATAAAGGAAGTTTAGTCATTTGCTGAAGTCTGAGTCTGATTCAAAAGGAGGAGCTTTTACCCTCTACCTTAAAAGGAAGGAAAAGAAGAAAAGAAGAAAGGGAGGGAGGGAAGAAACAAAAGGCAAGAAAAGGAAAAGGAAGAAAAGGAAAGGGAAGGAAAGGGAAGGAAAGAGAAGGGAAGAATTGATGGAAAGAGAAAAGGAAAAGAACAAAACTATGCAATGATTTGCTTTTAGACTAATTTTGTTGAGGCCAATGACAGGAGTGTCTCTTTCACTGGGGAACCTTTGAAGAAGCCACTGTTTAGCATTTGAGAACATTCCTCCAGCCTTAATGGCATGCACAAGAAATCCCTTGTTAGAAGGCCCCTACCCCCACCCTTTATATTCTGCTTGCAGACATCTGTGTGCCACATTCTATTTCTAGCTCTGACGTCACAATCCAGGGCTGGCAAGACTCACAGCCTGGCATTAGCTCCATGGAGCCAGCCAACTGAGCAGGGAGTCCTGTCCTCCCTGGAAGCCAGGAATGTGAGCTTTACCTGCATGTAAATCACCCAGAGCTGCAGCCAACACTTTATAAGCAGAGGTCTTGCCGCCCATGGGGTCTCCGACAATCATATAGCCGTGTCTCACCAGCATCATCTCGTAGATCTTGGAGGGGAGACATCATTCATATAAGAAGTTAATCACTGCAAACCTCCCCATGCTGGAAGTTAGTCAGAAGTCAACGAGGAATGAGGGAATCAGAGGGGTATTCTCACAGTCACTTCTACCTCTGGGGAACTAGGATCCTTTTTGTGATCTATCGTTTAAATATCTTACGGATGAATAAATATATGTGTGTGTCTCAGATTATTTAAGGGATGGGATCTACTATTTGCTCTGCACCTATCTATGTGCTAAGGATCAAGTGATTACCCAACTTATTTAATCTACTCAGGTATCACTAACTACCTTTTACAGGTGGGAACACTGAGCCCTAGAGAGGTGACGTAACTTATCCAGGCTTATCAGTGGTACAGTCAGGATTTGAACACAGGGCTGCTCAACTTCGGTGTGTCTAATCTTTTCTTTACGCCATTGCCATTTACTTTTAAAGAGGAAAAGAAAATGGTGGTCATTTTAGCAAATTGCATTTCCCCTGGGAACTTCCTTTCTTAAGCCCTAATTGCTGTCCTGACGTAATTGGAACTCTCGGCAGATGAAAATGTATTTTCGGAGCCAGGCTCTATGCTGTAAAATATAAATGACCTTCCGTGTAATTTTATCCCCTGCCCTTGAGAGTCAACAGCTATGTGGAAGTTCATTTCTTGAATTTTTTATTGTCCCTCTCTCTCTGTGACAAGTAGGCCGCGATAGTTGAAACGCAAATGCTTTGGTCATTTATATTTATGTGAAATTTTATGTTTTTTTTTTTAAAATCTCTCTGTTTAGACTGTGAGTCACTCAGAGAAAGGGAACACATTAAACTTTTTTATTGTGAGCATTAATTTCTTATTATTTCTCACCTTGGAGGTGAGCAATAAGGGAGGATCTAAATGAAGGTAGTGACAAAGGGGCTGGTGAAAGGACAAATGTCATTCAGCAAATGTTTGTTAAGCATCTACTGTTCCAGGTGTTGCAGAACAAAACAACAAAATCCTCAACCCTCAAGTGGGGCTGACATTCAAGCTGGCTTGAGAGACATTGCAGATAGAATAAAGAATGGAGTCGACTGCTCAGAAATGAGAGGGAGGAAGACGTCAGTGACTCAACAGCCTCTCTCCTCCCCCTCCCACACCCTGGAATGGACCCTTGAGACAACAGTATGTAGAAGGGCAAGTGGCTCCAGGTACCTTGTTTCAAAAAATAGTACCTTGTTTTTGAAAATTGTTACAAAGCTATGTAAAAATTCACCCGTAGGTCTGCAAATTACTTTGAAACACGTCAAAAAGTAAGATGGATGGACGGGTAGATAAGTGAAAAAGCAAATTTTGTAAAATGTTAATTGTAAAATCTGGCTGGTGAGTGTGTGGGTGTTCTCTGTAGAAGTCTTTCAATTTGTCTTCATGTTTAAAATTTTTCATAATAAAATATTGGACATAAAAGTTCACGCCTAGTTAAAGAATGGTCCCTCTGTAAAATCCCAAAGAGAAATTCAATGTTGGGTTAAATTAATTGTGTCAAAAACTAGCTCATTAGGTGATATAATAGGGGGGAAAATCATTCTTTTTACCACAAGGTAGTCTCTGGTCCCAGAATCTGGAGACCTGGGTCCTGCCTTGACCTTTGCTTCTAACCAAGAGTGTGACTTTGGGAAACGATATCAGTGATGCTGACGATGACTGTGGGGATGGTGGGGTTGGTAATGATGCAGTATCAGACATTGCGTGTAAAACAAGCACATTTAATAATATATGGGTACAGGAACCAACCTGGATAATTTTCCCAATAAACCAAGGAACTGGCTGGAGTTTCATCTTTTTGATGTTCTCATTCAGCACTTCCAGAAAAACTTCATAGTCTGGCTTTGGAAGAATAACTCCAGGAAATAAATCTGATATAATTCCCTATTAACAACAATTTAAGAGAAAGTGGAAGGTATAACATATCAGATACGTGATCTCAACATTTTCCTAAAATGAGATCTATAGACAGCAGACATCTCTGAAAAATTACAAATCTATTTTATTGCACCAAAATTCATCCAAAATTATAAATGTCAACACTATCTGGAAAACATAATTTCTCTCCCAAATACTTTTAAAGTCAGCAACTATTTAATGAGTCTTTACTATCCTCCAGTTACTGTACTAGAAGTGAAAAAGGTAGTCACTATTTCTGTCTTTATGGGGCTCACAGCCTGGCAAGGAAGATAGACATTAAATTTATTACAAAATGAAACTGACTACATTAGATAAAAACATCTATCCAAACCCAACAACAAATATTATCCTATCAGCGAAATCATTTTTATGAAAAATAAGGAAGTAGACAGAGGTATTTTCTGTCACCATTATTATTTAACATTTGGGGAGAGCGTATCAGGCAGCAGAGATGCTGGTTGGAGAAGACAGGGTGTCAGGAGACGGTGCCAAAGACAACATTTCACCTTCAAAAGTTGAGCTTTGGTCCCTGGCCAAGGTCCCAAGCCTCTGCCTACCTGAAACAGGGGGACATCTTGAGCTAAGAACTTGGCCAGGTTGACATCAAGCAAGGCCCGGAGCAGTAAGACACTTTCATTCTCCTCCGGATACTTGAGCTTCAGGTTGCCTGCAGCAGTGAGCACTGACTTCACCGCACGCATGCCGTAGTCATAGTGATGCTGGGAAGAGAGCTGTTCCGAGCACAGGCGGTAGGTCGCAACAATCTTCTGGGCGAGGCTGGGAAGGCAAAGACATGTCTGCAGATCCCCAGCGAGGACCATGTCCTGCTCAGCAGACATTCCCGGCATCCTGTCACCTGCCCCTTCAGAAACCAGGCTTGCCCATTGACTTGATGGAGAAGGCCTATCATTTGAAGGTCTTTTAATAGTTACCATAATGAGCTGCAGAAGCATTATATTAATAAGTCTCTTTCAACTTTAGGATGAAAAAAAGCAAGCACACACATATGTATAACATGTACTGTATATGGAATTATTAATATATGTTATATACTTTTACATGTATACATGAATGGATGTACACACACATATCCGTGCATACAAGTTAGGGAAGAATACATCAAACTATTAAACAATATTAGTCCCTAGAGAGCGGGACTCAGAGTTACTAAGGGGAAACTTATTTTTTTCACTTCTGTAACATTACAATTTTTTTGATGTCTTTTTTTTAATTTAAGAAACAATTCAAAATTTAATATACGCAGCACAGAACACATGTGTACTTATGTGCACTGCCACTTCTTATTCGTCCTGGCACACAGCTGCACCACATTTCCCAGCCTGTCACGCAGGAAGGGGAGGCCACGTATTGAGTTCTAGCCAGCGGAATGGGAATGACAGTGACGTGTACCACTTCCAGCGCTGGCCCACAAACACCTCCTCCATGAGATCCTGTGTGCCATCCATGTGTTGTAGCCATGAGATTATAAGCAACCTGCATCCCCCTAAACCATCCCTGGGGGGAGAACTGCCCCTGATCACAAACACCTATTTTGGGTTTTCAGTGAGTGAAAATTAAACTTTTTTTATGTGAAGCCATTGGGATTTGGGGGTCGGGGTTACCCTAACTAATATAACTTACGCACATTCCCCTTATGGAGATCCTCATTACAAAACTGATTTACTTTCAAAACAAAGACTTTGTCTGTGTTGTGCATCAGCACCTAGCACAGAGCTGGGTGTAAGGTAGGTGGCTCAATGAAGGTTTGCTAATTGAATAACTAAATGAATTGACTGGGCAAACCAATGCAATCCAGGTCTACTATAGAAAAAATAAATTAAACCTCAAATGACTGAGGCTGCCTCTTGGCCTAGGAAGGGTGATACATTCTATTGAGAATTTCTGCAGTCTCTTAGATTACAAACAAGGACACCCAGGCCACAAAGACACTGAGGGCTTTGTGGAGACATCTGTTGTAACAAAAAGCCAATTGATTGTGGCCAAGACAATGTAAAAGACAAATGTAAAATTTGGAATAGATCATAAAAGCCATTTTACAATTATTATTCATAACTCTTGCTGCACACAAAGACACTGATCTCTGTATATATATGTGTGTGTGTGTGTGTGTGTGTGTGTGTGTGTTTTAGAAAACTGGGTACTACTTGAAAGAGAAATAATCCAATTGATTGAAGTCAATAAATGCAATATTGAAAACAATTTAATTATAAATCATATTATATTTTCCTCTTCCATTTTGGAATAATTTCATGTTTTATAGTATTGCTTTAAGCCACTTAGTAATGTGGGCATGGATGTGTTGGACCAAATGGTGGGGAAGGTATGAGTAGCTACTTTCTTTAATAGGGGTCCAGGTGTATGTAAAGAGAGAGGAGACCCTGTCCTGGGAACCTGGACCATGTCCTAATCAGAAGTGGGATCAAGATCGAGGCCAGGGCTCTGTGCTCTCAGATCAGCCAGTGAGTGGAAGGAAGTTTCTCAAGTTTCTCTCTTCTCTTCCAATGGGAAAACCACTTTGATGTCACCACACAAAAAGCCGCTCTTTAAAGGCCTTTGGAACCCACTGGAAAGCCAATGTAACATACCTTCTGGAGTCCAGAAACCCCATAGAGTAGAGGGAGATTTCTCCAATGAGGGCGTAATCTGGCACCATCATGGCCACCGTCCGGAACAAGGCCTGGAAAAGAAACGACCGATCAGAACCTGAACAGTACAGTGCACACTGGGGCCAGCCACATACACAGAGGCAAAGGGAAGTAGCATGACCATCCAGGCCCCTCCAGTGACGATCACGAAAGGAGGGCTGGAGGACAAGTTAATTCCAAGGCACCACCTTTGATGGACAGATCCACTGCTCAACCAGCACTCCCACTGGCCCTGTCCAGGTACATGTGGGTCACATAGGGTCCCTCAGCGGTTGTGTGGAAGGTCCATGGTGCTGGTATCCCAACAACATCTCATTCTCTTATACCAAATGAGGACATCTCACAGTATCATTCAACTCTTGGAGCTTCCCGATGTTCAATACAGACATCAACAGTCATTTAGAAATGCAGGGCAATTACGTATCAGAAGAATCCTGAAGTCAGACAGATCTTGATTTGAGTTCTTGTTCTGCTACCTACTAGCTGTGGGCAAGTTATATAACCCCTGTAGACCTTAGTTTTTTCATCTCAAAATAGACTAACAGCTTTACCCTCTTCCAAGAGCTATCACAGAACGAATGATACATTGTAGCTAAAGTGCTTACAAGAGTGCTTAGCCTTAGCCAGCTTAGTAATAAAGGCGGAGCTCCATGTGATCCAGCCTGTGTTTATCAGAGTTCTCTGTTTGAAATTTGATGCTCTCTTTTAAGTAGATTTATTTTGTTTGGCCTACAGTGACTTTTTTTTTTTTTTTGTACTGAGCCAGGATCTAAAAATCAGGAGATTTCATGTAAAAATCCAAATTTCTGGTTTCTCCTGAAAAAACAAGAAGATGTGACAATTCCTGCTCAGCAGTAACAGTGGTCTGGAGCTAAGAGGTGGCTGCTGCCTCTAGATGGGGCATTTGTCAGAGTCCCTACCAATCCTAGCTTGCTTCTCCAGTTTATATTACCTGTCTGGCCCCTGTAGACAATTTAAATAGTGACCCTTGTTTGAACGTTCATTGCTTTCTATTTGCCACTGGTTACTGTGTATGTATCCCCCTCTCCCAGGAGACTCCACTGGGGAGGTGGTTGTGTTCCGGGGCCAAGTACCATCTCACTATCATTGACATGCCACTATTACTTCTCGCAGCTGAAAAATGCTATCTGACCCTATTGTTGTGTTTTTCTATGAGATCCCCTCTCCTCCTCCCCCCAACCCCCAGTGGTTACCTCCAGATGTTTCTATTCTATAAAGCATTTATACATGCATTTATACATGCTGGCATTTACCTTGAGGTTATCTGGCAGCTCAGCCCTGCCAGCATATCCAGGGTTCATGGTGATGAAGATGGCACAGGTTGGGTTCAGAGACAGCTCAGTGCCTTCAAAGATGAACGTCTTTAGCTTCCGAATAATGGCTTGTTGGATGCTAAGAATCTGCTGAGCCACCACAGACAGCACTTCTACCTGGGGTGAGAATTCCTGGTTGATATACACACCTGCTTCTGACAGCCACCCCGTCTGCCAGAGTCCCCCTCTGTCCCCTCACTCAGCCAAAAAAAGAACCCAATCACCTGGGAACTGAGAATATGAGGCCTTCATGTTCAAAATTAGGAGCACGATTTGGGATTTCAGTAAGGAAAAAGAAAATTGGGGTGTATGTGCGCACGTGTGTGGTGTGTAGTTTCCACAGTATTTTATCTTTGTTTCAACACCTAGCATATGGCTTGACACACAGTAGGTATTCAGTGTTTATTGGCTCAAATTGCATGTTTATATTTCTGGTCTCCATTCCCTACCCAAATAGAATTAATCACCCACTCTTTTGTGATGTCTCTTTTGTACGACTACCATAGACTTTTTATCATATTCTGTTTCATTTAATTTTTATTTCCCTTTACTAGATTGTAACAGTCTAGACAGCAAGACCATTTCTTGTTCATCTTTGTACCATGAACATATGCAGAGTACCTGATGTATAGTAGCTGTTCAATCAATTTTGGAGCAGGTGAGTGAATGAATTAGTATTATGGGAAGGTAGGGATATGAGTATAGAATATGGATTCTGTCTCCTTGGGCTGCTTTTGTTTAGTTTATTGAATATCTACTGTGTACAAGGGGCCATAGAAGAGACATACAGTCCTGTCATTAAGGAGCTGAGAGCCCAGAAAAAAGGTCCCTCCATGTGCAACCCTTATGTGCTGTAGTCTAGAAACAGAGTTACCTCGATTCTGTTGAACTCGTCAAAGCAGGCCCATGCTCCTGCCTGGGCCAGCCCCTTGAAGAACTTCCCCATGGCTTTGTAATCCAAACCATCTGAGCAGTTGAAGACCACACACTAGAAAGAGGGAGGATGTGGGCACCATTCAGGATAGAATCCATCACATCTGACTTACGCTGCACCATTACACAGGGGCAGGACTCCTCTCTTGTTCTACTGGAGGAGTTGGGGCCCACACTGCCTGTTACACTAAACCATCTTAGATTTCATGCTCGCTTCCCTGGACAGGGGTCCAGAGGAGGCCAGGAAGAGAAGGTGGGGACAAATGGCATTTCCCATCTACCTACCTGCTTAGCCAAAGCTTTGGCCAGATCTTTGGTGGTTTCTGTCTTGCCTGTCCCAGCTGGACCCTCTGGAGCTCCTCCAAGGTTCAGCTTCAAAGCTCCCATCAGTGTCCTAAGGGGAAGAAAACAGGACCTCAGTGCCTGAGTTCTAAGACACAGAAAAAAAAAACAAACTGGCTTTTTGTTTATTTTAATTCATACAAATAGTTTAAAATTTTACCCTGATTATATGACCAATAAATCATCATTGTAACCTCAGAGTGCTTGGCACATGGGCAGCACCCACAAGCATTTGTTTGAATAAATGAGCGAATAAATAGACGCACACTACATACATACATGAATCAAATAAAAGTGAAAAATACTCATAAACTCCACATCCCAAAGATCACTAGTGCTAATGGAATAGTGAAAATAAATGTATTTCTCTCACTAGATTATCAACTCTTGAGTTCAGGGACTGCTTTCAATTCTATTTCATATCTTCAGCAAGCTAATACAGTGCCTGGCATGTAATAGGTGCAAGACAAATGTTAAAAATGAATGATGTGGTAACTGTGGTCCCACACCTTGTGGTATGAGTCTCTATGATTTTAGTGAACATGCTGTCTTGGAATTGTCTGAGTATATCTCCCCACCTCCGATAAGACTTAGGGTTTGTTGAGGTCATGCATGGTGCATGGGAAAGTTCAAGAAATGGTTGTTGACTAATGAGTGGAATAAATGAATGAATGAAGAGGAAAATACACAGAACATAGAAAACAAGTGATTGAGGATTTTGAAAGAAGAAAATACTCTCAAGTGTTATTTTTACAGTATAAAAAAAATCCACGGTTAGGAAATATACAAAAGCAAAGAAAATCTAAACATCACAAAATTGACATGTTCACAAAATCCATATTTCTAACGTTATGAGTTCCATGGAAAGTGGCAAAGCACTTTGCTGAGCACAGAATGACATATCTGTTCATGAAACTGGTTGGCAGAGCTTAGAGACCCATACAAGGCCTTGACTCGGCCCCTTGTCTGACCTCTTGGCCACGGGGTCTCCAGGCACCATCTTAATTCCTGCCATTGGAGAGCTTCTACTGAAGTCCCGTGTCATGTTCACAGATGGGCACCAATATTCTGCTTGTTGGTTCAAATGTATTCATTTGCACTAGGACTCCTACTGGGTCCTCATTTCTAGTCTGAAAGCCTAGTTTCCATGACCATCTTTGGAGCCATGGTGACTAAGGGCAAAATTTTTAAATTTGAGAATCTGAAACGTAGAGAATAAAGGTAACAAACCCAAGATGCCCTGGACCTTCCTCCCTGGAGTCTTTTTTTCCTCTGGAGTTCTCTATTCACTCCTCAGGTCTGGGAGCTCCAAGAGTTTACCTGTAGCAGCGGTCAGTGAGGGGTGTAATCACCAGCCGGGGGGAGTTTCCCAGGTACTCATAGCCATACAAGGCTTCCGTAGTTATCATCTGCACGTGCACGTTCTTTGCCTCCCAGTAGTAGCGCAGCTGCGAGATCCACTGGAAATCATTCAGATTAGAAACTCCGTCCTCAAATAACTTGGCCACCACATCACGGGCTGTTGGGACACAGACACCAGAAACACACACATGCAGAACCATCAGAACTCTCCCATCTCCACAGACTTCTCAGTTAGAAGAGGATTTAAAGACAAAAAAAATTGTAGAGCCAGGGTCTCACCACATTGTCCAGGCTGGTCTTGAGCTTCTGCCCTCAAGCGATCCTACCACCTTGGCCTCCTAAAGTGCTAGGATTACAGGTGTGAGCCACCACACCTACCCCCTGAAGAGGATGTTATTAAGGCCCTTCACTCTTCAAACAATTTTCGGTTCCACTACTCTCCTTGTCCACCCCTAACCTGCAGGCAGCAATATCTGTCAGAAGCTGGTATTTACTATCTACCAAGGAGCCAGGCAGAGAATCTGCTGCATTATCTCCTCTCAGACAGTAGAGCAGACATGTTAAATGTGCATACTCTGAAATCAGACTATCCGGGTTCAAATTCAGGTGCCACAACGAACCAACTATGTTACTCCAGGCAAATTTCTCTATCTCTGTCCCTCAGTTGCATAATCCGTAAAGTGGGGATAACATAGTACCTACATTATAGGTTCTATGTTATTATGAGAATTAAGTGAATATATACATATCTACATTTATGTACTTTAGAGACAGAGATAGAGAGAAATGTGTCTGTCATATGAAAACATTAGGTAAGTATTAGCAACTGCTATCATTCCCAAACTCTTGGGGGACTGACCCAGAGGACTTTGCAATATACAGTGGCCCCCAAATACTGTTATATGCCCAATATGACCCTTTTGGCCCTGTTCCAGGCCTCTAGTATAGCTTCAGAGAATGCAGTCAGTGTAGTCTGATTTAGTTAGCAGGGGAGCACATTCTTTCCCTCTGTGGGCCTGAAAACCCAGCTGGGAGATACATTTCTAGTTTTACCCTTTTCTCTCATGGGATTGTAAGTCTAATTTAATTTTCTCACTGTGACAGGAACCTCGAGGTTGAAGAGTGGATATAGGTTTATGAGAATCATTAATTATTTTTTGGTAACTCACAGATGGAGAGCTATTGAGACCTCAGAGCTGGTATAGCAGGCTTAAAATTAGGATTCCAGAAACAACTTTGCACAGGGATGCTTCCACTGCCTCTCTGTGAGATAAGCCTTCTTTATTACAGTAAAACCCAAAACCCTGTAGAGAAGAGCCCTTGAAGAAGATTATACCAACAGCTCTTTCCTCCTTCCCAAGAAATTCAATACCCCTTCAGGTTCTTGGGGGAACACACAGGGTGGCAGGAGGTGTAAGGGGAGTCTGTATGAGAGATCCAAGAAGAAAGTGAATTTCGAGGGATTCAGTTGGGGATGCCTTTGCTGTGCTGTGTGTGTGTGTGTGTGTGTGTGTATGTGTGTGCGTGTGCACGTGTGTGCATGCATGCTTGTGTTTGTGAATCCACTCTGGGGTACCTTGAGCAGTAACCACACACCTGCACCCATTATTCCTACAAGCTGGGTATGTGGCCATTTGAAGAGCACATTTTCCTTTTTCTCTCCTTATTTTATACTCTTCTACCTAAATGAAATCAGATTGAAATGAGCATCAACCTTGAGAGGAATAAGATGCCATGAAATGCCAGTAGGAAGCAGGGTATGTGAGCAAGAGACTCTGTTCCCCAGCAACCAGCCTGGTCCAGCCCTAGTTTCCTTGGTGATGATGGAGTGAGGATGTGGGGGTGGTTTGTTTTACATAAAGTCCCCAATTCTTCCTCCTCCTCCTCCTCCTCCTTCTCTTCTTCTTCTTCTTTTTTTTTTTTTTTAAAGAAAGAGCTGGAAGGAATCATCTCTCACCACTCCTCCCTGCATCACTGCCCACTTCCAGTCCCTTGGGCTTGGAAGCAGACAGACATAGGAGCTTCTGCAGCTTACTAACTGTGTGCCTCCCTGCAAGTTATTTACCCCTTTAAGCCTCAGGTTCTTAATCTGTGAAATGTCTATGAAAATGAGATAATGCATGTCAATCACTTAGCACAAAGCTTGGCACCCAGAGAGTATTAAAAAATATTAGCTCTCATTAGCCAAGGAAATGACTCCAAGTTGTTGAAGCTCAGAAATGACTTTGGCCATCATCATTTCAGTAAGAGCCCTGCTTGGAGGGTTCCTGGAAGTAAGGTTGAGGATGGGAAGGGAAACAAGACGGAGATGCACAGAGCCCTTTGGCATTGGCTTCTCTCCTCTCGCCACCTCCTGTAATCTCAGTTGGGAACGCCTCTTCCTAATGGGGAAGGAAACTCTGAATCACTCCATTCAGGAGAACGGAGACAAGCAAGCCTGGCTGCTATTCCTGGATAGCCAGTGACGCCAGGAGAAGTCTCCTTGCTTACCGTGGACGTCGATGACCGTGAGGGCCCCCAGAGTGAGTCGGGCTCCGCTGCTCAGCTTCCCTCGCACCAGCTGGACAATCTGTGCAATCTGATTGTTGCTCTTTTTCAGGAAATCCTGGCAGGGGCAGAGGAGGGGACAAGTGACGAAGCTGGATTCTCCTCTGGCAATCCCCATCTCAGGGAATGGCACCATCGACCCCCGGATGGCCCAGGCCAGACTCCAGAGGGTCATCCCTCCAGCCTATCTTTCCCCTGGGTGAATTCCAAATGCAATATGCTAACTGAAAGAGGCCAGGTTTGGAAGGTTACATACTGCAAGATTTTAATTTTATGTTATTGTGGAAAAGGCAAAACTGTAGGAGCAGAAAACAGATTGGTAGGTAGCAGAGGCTTGGAGTAGCAAGAGGGGTTGACTACAAAGGGCATGAGGAATTTTTTTTTTTTTTGGGTGGTGTGGACCTTTTCTAGATTTTCATTGTGATGGTGCTTACATGAATGCGCGCATTTGTCAAAATTCAAAACCATATGCTACAAAGGGTGAATTTTACTACATATAAATTATACTGTAAACCAGAATTAATGAAAAAAATCTGAAACTGTGAGATTAAAGGAGACAAAGGATATGAAAACAAAATGCAACATGTAATTTTGGATTGGATCCTGGACCAGAAAAGCGTTTTTATGTCTCCCACTAGACTACAAATCCATGAGGACGGGGACTATGTCTGTCTCATTCACCTCTAATTCCTTTTGCCTAGTAGCAGCCCCAGCACAGGGCAGATGCGAAACCAGTGTTTGCTACGTGAATGACAAGTGGATGGATGGATGGATGATCATCCTGTGCCAACACCTGCTTCCTTTGGGATTCTGAGGCACATCATTTGACACACATGCACTCCAGGGCTTGGGTGTGTGATGGGAAACATTCTCCCTATCTGTGGGTAGAAAACTGGGATGCATAGATATAGTCACAAAAGTCAGAAGTTTTTAGAGTTTCTACAGTTTGAAATGATGTACATGAATGCAGTCTGCAAGTGTACAGTGCAATATATCTATTAGGAATTATCAACATGGACTCTGTATAAATTTGAAATTTGGCCAAATATTAATGTTCTAATTTTAATACATAAAGCAAAATACAGTAAATTAAAATATATTTAGGTCCACAGCCAATCTTCTATGGGGGAATAACAGAAGGTCTGATGAGATAATCATGGGAAATTATGCCACGGTAGAAAGGTTGGGAACGAAGTCATCATTCATTCATTCAACAAACATTTATTGAGCACCTACCATGTGCTCAGCACTGTGATCACCCCTGGAGATAGAACAGTGAGCAAAACAGACATAGCCTCTTTCCTGTAGGGTTTACAGCCCCACATCTAAGTACTGAATAATGTACCACAATCTTATTTAACCCTCCTGCGATACGATGATGTGATGCAACAGTTCCTTGCATTTTATAGACAAGGAGACTGAGACTTAGGTTAAGTTGCTCCTGGACACATGCTAACTAGTGGGATGTGTCAGCATTTGAACTCAAGTCCACCCAGGTCCTGCACTCTTAAGCACTGGTGTCAACTGACTGGAAATACAAGGTTTGGATCTGAGGATAACCAGGCATTTGAGCATGCTTGGTCACAAGAGAAAGCTGAAGGAAGGGCTGGGGGCAGATTCATTTGGGACTGGGGGTGGTGAGCAGGGGCAGTAGTGGAGGAGAGGGGGGAAATGGTGGCCCCTTGGCCTATGAAGAAGACAAGGGGTCTCTGTTGGTGGAAATTCTGCCAAGTTGACTCATGGAAACCAAGCATGGTAAGACTTAGAATCCTGCAGCCCAGAATCTCTGTCTAGGATGGACTATGGGAGGTCTTGCACTATAGAACTCCAAGTCAGCCCCAATTTCAAATTCTTCATCCCACTGTCCTTTTGAGAACCCTGACTTCTGTGATGCTGTGGGCCCAAACTATTTTTTTTTAAACATGGCTACTCTAATTTTACATCATTCAAATCCTAATTGATGCTCTTATCTCCTCTACAAGCTTCATGGCAGGATCACTTACCTGTAGGGTATTTTCCACCAGGGCTTCAGATACCTCCTGGGTCCAAAAGATGGAGGAGACACAGATGACCACTTGGCCAGGCCACTGCAAGACCCAGTGATTACGAGGGATCTGGGAAAGTGCAGTGGGTTTATTATAGTATCGGTTCACTGTGTGTGGTTTAAATTGACTTTATAAAACATGCCCCACCATCTCACCCCCACAACAAAACCAAAATCCTCCTCCATCCTCAGATGCTACAAGGCTTGGCAGCTCTGGAATTGCTGATTTATTCCTCCCTGAATTTTATGAAAAAGAAAAAAAACCACCAACAATCTCATCAACTCCTTGCATTTTTTTCATTGCTCATTCAGCAGTTTTTTACAGTTATTCAAGGTGATGTTTAGAGAGTACTCCTAACTACTCTTTAATTTTTTTATTTTTTATTTTATTTTTTTAGAGACAGGGTCTTGCTCTGTCACCCAGGCTAGAGTGCAGTGGTGCGATCATAGCTCACTGCAACCTCAGACTCCGGGCTCAAGGGATCCTCCTGCCTTGGCCTCCCAAAGAGCTAGGATTACAGGTGTGAGCCGCTGTGCCCGGCACAACTACTCTTTTAAATGGCTACATATTATTGCAGTGTTGGGCCACAATTTCCTAAGCCAACATTCCCCTCCTTTTTTTTCTAAAACTATAGGTCAGGAGAGGAAAACTATGTAAATAAATACATAGTTATTTTTGTAAAAAATTGTATCAAAACACAGCCATTCCCATTTACGTATTGTCTATGCTGCTTTTGCGCTACAAGGGCAAAGCTACAGTAACCATTCTACTATACATATGTATCTTAAAACTATGTTGTATATTTTAAACATACACGATACAATTTATTTAAAAAAAAAAAGCTGTGATGGGAGCGTGGCCCACAGAGCTAAATGTGTTTACTATTTGGCCCATTACAGGAAAGTTTGTTGACTCTTGATATAGATTCAATTGCATGACATAATTTCATTCTGGTAGCTATTTTTCTTTAATGTTTGATTTAGAACATGTCATAGGAAAAGGGATTGGCCTTTCATTTTATGATGCAAATATTTTGGCAAGGGACAGCGGGGTCAGTCCCCAATATTTAGTGTGAAGGTGTTAACTGAATATTGTTTTGTTCTATGGAAAAGGTCTGGGAATGGGAACAGGAGCCTGAAAATAACAAAGGGCACATGAAGCAGAGGGGACAAAATTTAGCATTAGCCAACGTGATCTTGCAAGAGGCTGGATGAAGAGTTACCGGGACAGGTTATTTTCTCTCTGGCCTTATGCCATACTTGTTCCCCTAAAACTTTGGGAGTTTAATGAGTTAGGCCATTCGGGGGATCTGCAACATAAATGAATGCTCAGCTGGAAGGGGCTCTAAATTGACCTTACACCATCAATTTCATTTGACAGAAAGGAGAATTGAGGCTAACTCTCTTCTCTTGGATCGCTTGCTTCTAACCGCAAATGTTTCACCAAAAATATGTTCATTGCCCCAGGATTTACAGGTAAAGGCAAGACAGGCACAGAGAGGTGGGTTTTGGTAGAAGGCAGAGGCCAATTGAACCAATTCATTTAACGTTCTTCCCAAAGTTCCTTGTACTGTAGCAGCACCCTGGCATGTGTACCTCAATTTATGTTTACCTTGACATATGCTTCAATCCCAAGTCCAATGACTTCCCGCAGACTGGCAAGCATCATCTGCTCCACCTGCTGGAGCCACTTCTCTACCATGCCCTGTGGGGCAAGAACAGACAGAAGCTGTAGCGTCAGTTCAAGTCCAGAGAGAAGAACTGTGGGCAGAACCAGCTTTCTCTCTGGACAGGGCTGGAGGGAGGCCAAAGGCTCCTTGGCTTGACACCTCTTCAAGCCAATATTCTTTAACCCTTTGCTTTACATTTATTTCCTGTATTCTCAGATGTATATGCCTTCCAAACGGGTAATAGGGAATTTTTATAATAACATACATTTCTTTCATGTCATTTTCTGAAACAGACAACTTCTCGGGAGGCAAGTGAAACATTCACCGTTTGGTTAATAAAACAAATTACTCCTTGTAGATGAACAGTTTGATTCATGCATTATTCCAGTGCTTCCCAAACTCTGCTATGGAGATCTTTAAAAAATACAGATGCTTGACTCCCACCCCCAGACTTTCTGGTTTAATTGGTACGGATGCAGTCTGGCCATTTGGATTTTGATTAACGCTCCACAGGTAATTCAAATATGCAGCAAATTATTCAGTTTTAGAATTTCAGGTAACTGTAGCTGTTTGATTTCAGGTGCTTGTAAACTAGCTGGTGTCTGAGTTGGTAATGTGACTCCTGGTTGTTGCAATTTATACCCATGGATGGCAAAAACAGTCAATAAAAGGAGGCCAAGAGTCCTTGTCTATTTCTACTTGAAATGTGTCATGCTTAGTAATTTACATTTTACTCATTATATAAGGACATATGTATGAAAACCTGAGTTAAGTAGCATCATCTTTCATTGATTCCATGATGTTTTATTGACCTTTAAAAAAAAGTGCCACAGGAATACTACTCAGCTACAAAAAACAATGGTGAACTAACACCTCTTGTACTATCCTGGATGGAGCTAGAGCCCATTCTACTAAGTGAAGTATCACAAGAATAGAAAAACAAGCACCACATGTACTCACCACCAAATTGGTACTAATTGATCAACACTTATGTGCACATATGGAAGTAACATTCACTGGGCAGGTGGGAGGCGAGAGGAGGGGATGGGTATATTCATACCTAATGGGTGCGCACTGTCTGGGGCATGGGCATGCTTGTAGCTCTGACTCAGATGGGGCAAAGGCAATATACATAACGTAAACGTTTGTACCCCAATAATATTCAGAAATTAAAAAATGAAGAAAATAAAAAAAGAAAAGGAAAACAAAACAAAAACAAGTGCCTTGGGAAGCTGTCTGACTGAATCACTTTTAACTGGACTCTGCACATTGAGATCTAAACAGCATCAGTTGTTTAGATCTGATTCTTGCTACTGCCTCCACATCAAGTTTGTTTAAAATCCTTCCACCAACTCAGTATGTCATGTGGATTGCAGTATAATCCCAAGCCTAGAGATGGGTAAACTGAGACTCAGAAAGATTAACTTCCCCAACTACCAATTGTTAAGTTGAGGAACCCAAATGTTTCTCCATATCCAGGAAGTCTGGAACTAGAGTCCTAATGCTTAACCAGTATGCTTTCTGCCTCTCTCTGGTTTACTCTGTTAGGGAGGAAAGAACCAGAGTTGGGTAAGGGGAGTTACTTTGGCATTAGCTGGGTAGATTTTCTGTATGAATGGAATGGTTTCTTTTTCTGAGCTGATCATGCCCACAATTTCCAGACTGTCTGTAAACTCCAGCTTGGCAATTCCTTCAAAGCACTTCTTCAAGTGTGGCTGCACTCGGAGGGGGTCCTTTGTCTCAGACAAGATCTCCAGCAGCTCATCATTTGATAGGAAGAAGAACCTATTTCAAAGCAAAGGAAGATGGTAACTGGAACCTCTTTTGAGAGCTTTTCTCCCCAACAGGTAGTTCACACCCAGGTGAATACCAGCTATGTCCCAGGGTCTTCTCTGAGGCCCACTGTCCTTCACCATTTTTCATCTGAGGAATAGAAGATGGAGATTTTTTTTTTAAAGAGATGGGGTCTCACTATGTTGCCCAGGCTGGACTCAAACTCTTGAGGTCAAGTGATCCTCCTGCTTCAGCCTCCCAAGTAGCTGGAACTACAGGCATGTGATACTGCACCTGGCTTGGAGATGGTTTTGACTCTGAGAACAACAGAAAGAATTAAAGCTGGTATATGTGAGTTTAATATGGTTGGGGGAGAGGTGCTACCAGTTAAAAAGAGCCTGGATAGAGCAGTGGCTCTCAACTTTGGCTGCACTTTATAATCACCTGGGGAGTTTATAAAAGTTTCCAATGCCAAGGTTCCACTGCCAAGAGATTCTAATATAATTGATCTGGGGATAGGTCTGGGAAAATTTGTATTTTTAAAAATTCCAGGTGATTCTAATGTGCAGTCAATCTTGAGAACCATTTGGTAGAAAGAGAGAGAGAAGACTTCCTTGTCTTTCCTCCTCTCCAGGCATACCAGAAAATGTCACAGGCGTAATATGAGAAAGTGAATGGCAATAATGGGCCTGTTTACATGCAGAGGCCTCTACCATCTTTTACATTAGAGATAATAAGACAACTTCATCTCTTGCTCAGGCCCCAAAAGCAGCAAAAACAAACCTTCAGAAAATGTTCAATGTACAAATATGAACTGTGACCGTCAGGCCAGAAGTCCTATTGACATAAGGGAGGGACCATGTCATTACGGTCTTCACTGACTATGGCAGATTACAAAAATGGCCACAATATTTATATCTCCTCTCATCAAGTGGTGGAATCTATTTTCACATCTCTTGAACCTGAGCTGGCTCTGTGTCTTGCTTTGGCCAATAGAATGTAGTGAACAGGAGTTTGTGCAAGTTCCAAGCCTAGACTTCGAGAGGTCTTGATGCTTCCACTCTTGCTGCTTTTGGGAACCCTGTGACCACTGCTGTGTGAATAAACCCAAGGTAGCCTTCTAGAGGATGAAAGGCATGTGGCCCAACTACCTGTTGCCCCAGACAACAGGAAGTCAACCAACAGAAAAGTGATTGAGGCCATCGACTGCCAGCTGACTGCAGTCATATGAGTGAGCCAGAAGAACCACTCAGCTCAGCCCAGCTCCATCTGCCAACTCACAGAACTGAGAGCTAAACACATGGTTGTTGTTTTACACGTCTAAGATTTGGGGTGGTTTGTTATGCAGCAAAGGAAACTATTAATAATACACTGTATCTGCAGTGTTGAGCAGATAGGAAGAGCTCAATTTGTTGGCTGACTGACTAACCAATATCTAATGAGGATGTCATTAATGATTTCTCTCACTCCCAAGGGAAATTCAAATGGGTGATCTCTATGGATTTACATTGCCTCTGTCTCTATCATATATGATAATGAATAAAGCTCGATGGCCATAAGAGTACTAATAATATGTCTGTATAATTTTAAATTAAAAGCATTATTTAGTGCTCTGTATTTTCATGACAGAATCAATTTAAATTATGTGACTATCAACATTGTCAAAGTGTTTGCTTAGTGCCTAATTTTATTTTATAAAAATCTAAAGTAGGAATAGGCCATAAGTGTATTAAAACAGGTGTTGGGGATATAGATGTCTGCTCTTCATTTTAAATCTGCAATATTTTATAATTACAGTCTTGAAAAAGAAAAGACAGGGATCAGCAGAAATAAGTTGAATGTGCCTCACTGGGAAGTTAAATAGGAGCTTGGTGTGAGAGTCATGCTTCTGTGACGGAGATTAGAACCCAGATCGCATGGCTCCTGGCCCACTGACCTTCCCAGTCCC